TGTGTGTGTGTGTCTGTGTGTGTCTGTGTGTGTGTGTCTGTGTGTATGTGTGTGTGTGTGCGTGTGTGTGTGCATCCATGTGTGTGTGCATGCATGCGTGTGTGTGTATGTGTGTGTGTATATGTGTGTGTGTGTATGTGTGTGTGCATGCGTGTGTGTGTATGTGTGTGTATATGTGTGTGTGTATGTGTGTGTGCATGCGTGTGTGTGTGTGTATGTGTGTGTGTAACTGTATAAGCAGATTGTATTGCACTGGTCTGGAAAGCTTAGTGGGCTCACTGTGTGCACATAGCCATCCTTTGAGAGGCTGTCAGACACAGTTAGATGAGTGGAAACACTTAGAAAATGAAATAAATTCTCCTTTAGAAAATAAGCCTGACACAGCAGACCACTTGCTGATGCTTCCAACTCCATCTGCCCCCATTCCCAGTGGACTGTGCAGATCCTGGTGACCCAACTTACTTCCCTCTCTCACCTTCAACACCTCAACCATGCTCCCCCTTTTGGCTCATCCTCACTCCTAAGTGTCAACTCCCAATACCTAGAATCATGTTCTACCTGGAACCCCAGTGACCACACCTGCCAGGATCCCCAAAGCATTCCCTACCTGGCCACCTACAGCTACCATACTCTCCCGAGACCCAGAGAGGACAAGATAAACCAGGAACAGAACACCCACTGGACAAAGACAAGACCAGATATCAGCACCTAGAATTACAATCACCTCGGACCCAGATTCCTGGATGCCAGCATTAAAACCACAGTGAGAGCCAGAACAATGTCTCCGCTAGAGCCCAGCAAGCCTACCACAGCAGGCCCTGAGCAAGGCAAGACAGGACTTCACAGTAGCATTTATGAATACAATAGAGGCCCTTAGAGGTGAGATGAATAAATTCATTGTTGAAATCTATGTAAACACAAAAAAACAGCGAAACGAAATGAAGGAAAGAGTTCAAGACATAAAAGTGGAAATAGAATCATTAAAGAAAACCCAAACTGAGGGAAAACTGGAAATGAAAAACTTAAGGAAATCAAACAAGAACCTCAGAAACAAGCCTGATTCATCAACAGAATACAGAGATGGAAGGGAAATCTCAGGCATTGAAGGAAAGATAGGAGAATGAATACCTTGGTCAAAGATGTGAAATATAAAAAGAAATCTATGCACAGAATATCTAGGAAATCTTTTCAACAAAATCATAAAAGAAAAAAATTTCTGACCGAAAGAAGGGCGTGCCTAATAAGGTACAAGAAGCCCACAGAGTACCAAGGAGACTGGGACAGAAAAGGAAGTACCCATGACATAGAATGATCAAAACACTAAACATACAGAGCAAAGAACAAATATTAAAAGCTGCACAAGGAAAAGACTAGTGAAAATACAAAAGTAAATATATTAAAATAACATGTGGCATTTTATAGAGACTCTAAAATCTAGAAGGGCCTGGGCAGATGTTCTACAAACTCTAAGAGACCATAAACACCAGCTCAGACTAAGATACCCAGAAACACTTTCAATTACAATAGGATAAAGAAAATATTCATGATAAAACCATATTTAAGAAGTATCCGTTTGCCGGGCAGTGGTGGGACATGTCTTTAATCCCAGCTTTTGGGAGGCAGAGGCAGGTGGATTTCTGAGTTTGAGGCCAGCCTGGTCTACAGAGTGAGTCCCAGGACAGCCAGGACTACACAGAAAAACTCTGTCTCGAAAAACAAAACAAAAAAAAAAAAAAAAAACCAAAAAAAAAAAAGAAGAAGAAGAAGAAGAATCTGTTTACAAATCCAGCCCTACAGAAAGTGCCAGAAGGAAATCTTCAACCTGAAGAGGTTAACCACACCCAAGAAAACACAAGGAATAAATAATCCCAGGCCATAAAATCAACAGAGGGGGGAAACCCACACTAGCATAATATAATAACAAGAATCAACAAATACTTGTTCATTGATAACTCTCAACATCAATGACCTCGATTCCTCAATGAAAAGACACAGACTAACGGATTAGACACAAAAACAGCATCTGTTCTTCTGCTGCGTCCAAGAAACACTCTGTAACATCAAAGATAAAACATCACCTCAGAGTAAAAGGATAGAAAAAGATATTCCAAGCAAATGTACCTAAGGTGCAAGGTAGTATTGCCATTTTAATATCTGACAAGATAGATTTCAAACCAAAACTGATCAGAAGAGATGGGGAAGGACGCCATACACTCATCAAAGGAAAAGTCTTCCCAGAGGACATTGCAGGTCTTACAGCAAACACAGGGGCACCCAAGTTTGCAACCTTAGCAGTACTACAGCTTAAAACATACATCAACCGTCACACAGTGAGAGCAGGTGACTTCAATATTCCATTCTCACGAAGAGATGAATCATCCAGATAAAAACTAAACGGAGAATTACTGGAGCTAACAGACATTGTAAACCAAATGGACCTACCAGACATGTACAGAACATTTTACCCAAACACAAAAGAATATAGCTTCTTCTCAGCAGGTCATAGAACTTCCTCCAAAACTGACCACATACTTGGACACAAAGCAAGCCTCAACAGATACATGAAAATTGAAATAACATCCTGCATCCTATCTGACACAAGGGTTAATGCTGGATTATCAACAACAGAAACAACTGAAAGTCAACAAAATCATGGTTTCTCAGTATCAATACTGAATAAAAAAAATTAGTCAAGACAGGAAAATTCGATTCTAGAATTGAGTAAAAATGAATACACACCATACACACACTCATGGGACACAGGGAAGGCCGTGCTAAGAGGCAAGCCCATAGTACTAAGTGTCTACATTAAAAAAAAAAAATGGAGAGATCTCATACTGGTAACTGAACATCACACCTGAAAGCTCTAGAACACAAAAAAGTAAGCACACCCTCAAAAAGTGGATGGCAGGGAATAAACGGAGGGCTGAAGCCAATAAAATAGAAACAGAGAGAACAATACAAAGAATTGATAAAACAAGGAATTGGTTCTTTGACAAAAGAATCAACAAGATTAACAACCTTTTATCAAAATTAACTAAAAGTTAGAGAGACAAAAACCAAGTTAACAAAATTAGAGAAGAAAATAGAGACATAATAAAAGACACCAAAAAAAGTACAGAGAATCATGAGGACATAGTTTTTAAAAACCTACACCAATTGCATAGGCACTAAGATTGACAATAAATGGAAAAGCTTTTGTATGACAAAGGACACTGTAATTCAGATAAAATGGTAGCCTACAAAATGGGGAAAGATTTTCACCAACTATACCCCCAGTGAAGATCTAATACACAAAATATACAAAGAACTAAAAAATCCTAGATATCAAGAAGACAAATAGCCCAATTAAAATGAGGTACAGATCTAAACAGAAAGTTCTTAAAAGAAGAATCTCAAATGGCTGAGAAACAAAGAAACATCTAACCTCCTTAGGCATCAGGGAAATGCCAATCACAACTGCATCTTACACCAGTCAGAATGGCCAAGATCAACAAAATCAAGAACAGCTCATGCCTGCCATTCCTGGTGGGAGTGCTAACATATAAGAGCCACTATGGAAATCAGTGTCAAAGTTCCTCGGGAAGCTGGGAAATTATCTACCTCAAGATCCAACTACACCACTCTTGAGCGTATACCCAAAGGATACTTCATCTTACCAAAACACACTTGCTCAACCGTGTTCACTGCCGCTCTATTCATAATAGCCAGAAACTGGAAACAACTTAGATATCCATCAACAGATGAATGGAAAAAAATAATATAAGGGAATATTGGTTAAATATAAATAAGATTAAAAAATGAAATTATAAAATTTTCAGGTACGTGGATGGAGCTACCAAAAAAAAAAAAAAATCATCCCGAGTTAGGTAACCAGACCCAGGAAGACAACTATGGTATGTATTCACTTCTATGTGGATGTTAGATGTCCACTCATTGATAAGCAAACTACAATCTGTATAACCACAGAGGTACAACTAAAGGACTATGGCCATGGTGTGCATCTCCCTAGGAAGGAGAAATAGAATATGTAGCTGGAGAGAAACAGGGCTGGGGACTGGACAGAAGGATCCACTGGGAAGGGGGAAGGGAGAGGGTGTGTGTGAGAGAGAAGAAACATGAGGAAAGACAGCTAAGGCTAAGAGCCATTGGGGAGGTGGGAGTCACAGGGAAACCAAACACAGTAGAAGCTTCCTAAAATATATTCATGGACGAAGAAAACCTAAGTGAAATTGCCAGGTCATGGGGGAGACAGGGTCCCCGGCTAGACACTCTCGCCATCAAACTAAGCTTCTAGACCTGTAAAGAGGTTACATCTTATTGAGTTGTTGTCCAAAGGGGTTCCATGAGTTGTTATATCCAACACTATTGGTTGATCTCCACACCAGCACAACTGTTTGAACTCTTTGAAGTTGAACTGGTGCCTGCCCAGAGCCTTCACACCTATGGACAAGTACTCATGGTACTTACTGGAACTTTGCACGCTACCAAAGGAGAAAGGTGAACACCAACCCAGCTACAAACCCTTCCATCTACAATGGTGAGCTGGCTGCACTGGTTCTGTAGGGGCCCAAAGTTTGTGAGAGTAATCAACCAATTGTAACCAACTTCAATAGTAACCAACCTATTGGATTTAAGGCCTGCTCTGTAAGATAGAACTCAACACTGTTTGGGTGGTCAAGAACCAGAGACTAAGTAGGCCAGGAACCTAGAGGAAAACAAGATACTACTGTTGTGTTAAAGGAACACGGCATTTAAATGACTGCTAGTGGTGTCCTGCTATGTTCATAGATCAGAGCCTGGCTCAGCCATAGTCAGAAGCTTCCTCTTGTAGCAGATGGGAAGAAATGCAGATGGACAATGCACAGAGAGTGATACACCTTGGAACACACAGCCATAAATGGGATATCTCCATCATTCCCCAGCCCGCCCCCAGGGTTTAGAAATTTCTAAAAAAGAGGTGGAAAGAGTGTAAGAGCCATAGAGGATGGGAGACACCCAGGAAACAAGGCCTTATAGACATAGCAGGACTGACACACGCACACGAACTCACATGAATGACATACACATGACACATACACATACATGACACACACATGAACTCATAGAGACTATGGGAGCATGTAAAGGTCTGCATCAGACAGGGTTCTGGTGCTGAGAGGGAAAGTGAACACAAGCCCCTATTCCTAACTCAGAAGCTATCTCCAGTTGAAAACCACTTGCAAATGAAAATCTTGTCTACTCTTGCCAGTGGGCCCCATACCTAGCAGTAAATGGCCAACACAAAGTCAATGGCACCTTTACAGGTTCTTTGTCTTATAATGTTGTGTCGGTGCTTTTTAGTTTATTTTTTTCTTTATACATCCGCTGCATGTATGTCATGGCTTCCTTTCTGTGTTTTTTGTGGGATTCCTATGTGAGTGAACACGTGTATCTCTGTGCCCATATGCGTTTCTTGTGCTTTTTCTTTGGCCTCTTCCTTCTGTTTGTTTTGTCCTGTTCTGACTCATTTTATCTTATTTTATTATTATTTCTTAGGTGTTTGTTTCCTATCAAGAGACAGAATGGGAGTGGATCTGGACAGAAGGGGACATGGGGAGGGACTGCAAGCAGCTGGGGAGGCAAAACCTTCATCAGAAAGTAGTTTATTAAAAAAAAAAACAAAAACCCTAATATGGGGCTGGAGAGATGGCTCAGTGGTTAAGAGCACTGACTGCTCTTCCAGAGGTCCTGAGTTCAATTCCCAGCAACCACATAATGGCTCACAGACGTCTGTAATGGGATCTGATGCCCTCTTCTGGTGTGTGTGAAGACAGCAACAGTGTCTTATACATAAATAAATCTTTTTTTTTTAAATATCTAACATCAATAAAAGAAAATAAGTCCAAAAAGACAGATGCTCTCCATAAAATGTGACAAATGCAGTAGCAGGCCCAGCTCGTTGTCAGGACAGGGAGATGTGCCCAGTTTTTCCAGCTCTCCTTCAGTGTGCCTCAGGGCCTTGGGCCTCCCACCTGTCCTAGCCAGGCATCCAGGAGCTGTTGCTATGACCTCCATCTACAACTCTTTCTCTCCCACTGGCGACCAGGACTTCCCCAAACCAAACAGATCATCTTTACTCTATTTCTGGCTTGATCACAGCAACATCTAAAATGATCTGCCTATCCCCCCTCCCCCAAGACTGGTGGTCCCTCGGCTTCCCCGTTACACCAGTCCCGAGTGTTGTGTGACAGGCCCCCTTCAACACAGTATTCTCTGCTTAGACCCCAGACGGTCCATCAAAGCTCTGTTATCCTTGAATGTGTCAGTATATGTGCACCTGCAATCCCAGCACCCGGGAGGCTGAAACAAACATCATGAGTTCTAGGCTAACCTGGGCTACATGATAAGATCCTACCAGAAAAAAATGAAAATAACAGCAAGAGTAGATGATAATAATATATTCTGTATTCTCAGTACTTCCAGCCTGCCTGCTAGTCCTCGAGAAATCTCACCCACACACTTACTTGTCTGAGGACAGGAATGTGTGTCTCCTCCTTGAGTGGACTTACTGCACTATAAAATCTTAACTGTGTCACACTGATTTTATTTTGTCTCAAATTCTACCATTCCTCTTCCCTCCCTCCCTCATCATTCTTACAGGGTCAGCTCTGAGCCTGCGCCTGCCTTCCTTCGCCTGTGTTCATCTTACAGGCTAAACTGTGGGCCTGGGCCTGCCTTTGCCTGTGTTCATCGGCATTTTACAGTACTTCACCAATGAGAGCTTGGGTTCCTCACCGTTTCCTGTCTCTGAACTATGACAACGGCACTGGAACTTGTTCCGACTCTCCATCACTGATTTTAGAATCCACTATCCTTAAGATGTCTCCAGGACTGCCTTGCTGTGAGATCAGAGGAATCTGCCTGCACCCAGAAGAGGCTCCAATGAAAAACTGAAGTTCCTGAATTTCCCTCTGCCATTGTTAATAAGAGGAAACAGAGACATCTATAGTGTACAGTAGACAACGTGGTATCTTAGGGACACCCCATACCAAAGGATAATTCCAAATAACAGACCCATCAGTCACCTCTGAAACTTTAACATTGTTATCAACTGTCCCACCCCCAAATCCTCAGGCTGTATCTTTCTTGAGTTTCCTGAACTGATCTTCGGTGCGTGGTACTACATGCAGCTTGCTATGACCATACTTATGTAGCCAGGGTGAAGCAAGAACAGTCTGTACTCACAGCCCCACTGTGACAGAGGGAGTCGTGCATAAGAAAAAGCCTCTGAGAACCGTGAAGCAAGTTACCCTTCAGTCACTCACGCAAGTGCCAATGGACTGTTTCACACACACATTCATACACACACTCTCACACACTCATACACACTCATACACACTCACACTCATACACACTCACATACTTACAGACTCATACTCTTTCACACACTCATACACACGTTCATGCACACTCACACGCACACACTCACACACACTCAAAGGACTAAAATGTAAGCAGGATCCTTGGAGAACCATTAGAGCCCAGCCTCCAGCCTCTCCTCAGCCATTCTCAGCAGCGGCAGTGGGTCTTCCATTGTAAACAGAGTTCACCTGCTTTCTGTGGGTCTTTGTGTTAACCTTACAGAGCCATGCCGCTCCCATGGCTCCTCCTCTGTGAACTTTTGGGTTCTGATCCCAGTCACTGGTCACTGGGATGTGTGCTTCTTCACCTGATCAGCACACACACATCACATGCATACACACAAACACTCGCAGGCCACCTCAGAGTCTTATGCTGATATCCTACACACGCACATACACACACACACATACATGCACACACAAACACACGCACACACACACACACACACTCACACATACACAAGCTCACACAAACAGGACTTCAGTCTTCTGCTGACATCCTACAGACACACACACATGCACACAGATTCTCACACACACTCGCATGACATGCACACACATATAGTCAGCCACACGCTCACACACACATGCCCACACACTCTCACACATGTACACACTCACACACACTCACACACATTCTCACACATGAACACACTCACATATAGCTGCTGTTTTGCTCAATCGTGTGCAACAATGCCCTTATCACCTTGTTTCTGGCTGATGTCTGACACATTAATTAATGAACGAATGCGTGCATGACAGCACGGAGTAAGGCCGTCCATACTCGGGCTCAGCGTGGGCCGTATAATTAATTCTAGTAAGTCAGATTTTACTCCTAATGTCTTGAACAAGTAAGATGAGACTTCTAAAGGGTGTGACGTAAATTCAAAGGGACATTTGGATCTGCATGGCTGGTCACTGTTTCCTCACCTGCTGGGATGCAGCCTTGGCCACACTCACACTCACTGAATCTCTACAAGCTGCGTTCTCTGGAGCTGGGCTGGAACCTGTAAGAAGAGGAAACACGGGGAAAGGCTGGGGAGCGGCACCAATCAAAAGAGGAAGAGCAGCAGGGTGGTGACCGTGGGTAGACCACTGAACAACAGAGGCTGACATGTGACTGCAGTCAGAGGCCCTGCAGTCTGCCAGTGCATAAACGGAGGAGCCCCGCCCCCACCCCGCCCCACCCTGCCCCCACCCCGCCCTACCCCGGCCCCCAGGCCGTCGCAGGAGCTGAGCTCCAGAAAGTTCCCCAGTCTGTAGCGGGCCTTTTCAAACTGAGGGAGGACTGGTGTTTCTTTAAGCCTTTCTGGGGCTAATGCTGGCTTTTTTCTAATGCCAGAAGCCACGTGGAGGAAGGAGAAAGAGTTAGAAGTTAGCCTTCATACAGCTTGTCAAGTCGTTTTGTAAATAGTGTTTGCTGAGCTGATAATGATGACATTCTGATAAAGGTGGCATTCTGTCAAAGCGTGGATGCTTCAAGAACGAGAAGCTGGGCAAAGGGACCCTTTGGGGACACTGTCATGCTTGGGAATTTCTGTTCATTTTTGCACACCGTACACAGAATGCTGGGAGCACACTGCCTAGCATGTAGTACTTTTCAAGAAGCAATCAGCCTACAGTGTTATAAAAGAGTATAACAAATAATAACAAGGGCTGGAGAGATGGTTCAGTGGTTAAGAGCACTGGCTACTCTCCCAGAGGTCCTGAGTTCAATTACCAGCAAGCACATGTTGGCTCACAATCATCTGTAACAGGATCCGATGCCCTCTTCTGGTGTGTCTGAAGACAGTGGACTCACATATATACAATAATTTTTTTTAAAGGAAAGAATAACAAAATAGATATCAAGTTTTTTGAAAAATACTATTTTTCCCCATGGAAATTTTCCCTCCAATTTTAGACCCGGGACTGACAAGGTTCAGGAGTCAAAAGGCATAGGGTTTAGTGAGGTGTGGTGGCACAGGCCTTTAACCTGCCATTTGAGGGCAGAGGCCAGCAGTTCTTTATAAGTTTGAAGCTAGCCTGGTCTACATAGTGAGTTCCAAGCCAGCCAGCATCTCAAAATATGTCAGCCATAGTGATGTCTCACTGGAGATGGCCATAGAGAAGTCTTTGTCTTCGGGGCCATATGGATCTGCTGTGTGGCTGATTCTCTGGATTCCTAGTGGACCAGGGCTAACAGTTCCATCATTCTGACCTGATATTCTCATCTATATTCTACGCACGTGTTCTCTTTCCCAAGCCACCTGCTGATCAGACCTGACCAAATCCAGTCAGTTTCTGTCAGATGGCAATAGTTAAGGCCTATTGTAATATATTGTGTTTTTTTTTCTGTGTATAAAATTGAAAGAAAATGGCTCCTCACATGTCATAGTTGCCTCTTACACTTTTCTCCAGACACTATCGTCAATGTTTTGTATAAAATTTATTTTCTGAAAAGGAATACCCAGCAGTATCAAGCAAGCAAGGCCACCGGCTTCCCTAGTTTGTAGGCCCCACTTAGGGGCTTGCTTGCTCAGACGTTGCCCTGGAGCCCATCGGCACTGTACCTGGCATGGCAGAGGCCGCTCTTGCTTCCTCCTCCTTCTCACAGAGAGGTTTGCAGTCAAGGTCACCAGAAGCCATGTGCAAAGTGTCTGATCCAGAATCTGCCAACGGGAAAAGGCCGACAGCAGGGGAGCTATGCAAAAGAAGCATTTGCCTGGGCACCTCTCATTTGCACACACCTTAGCCAGTGGCCAAATGCTGGGCCTGACTTGTAATAAGAACTCTAATTTCCTCTCTCCCAGAGCTACTCACCACTGGACGTCACGGTACTCTCTGAGGGTGAAGTGTGTTCAGACGATGGCTGTGTGAGATACTCCCTGACAGAAGGACACAAGAAATATCTTCAACACACTCGACAAATAACTCCCTTAAAACCCAACTGAAAACACATCCAATTCATAAGCGTAGCAGACCTGAACTGTGATGGGCTCTCCAAGTACAAGTGGCCAGCACCATTCTCCTGCAGGGAACAAGGAGACTCATGACCAGGGATCCGACAGTGACCATCCCAGAAAGGTAGCTTTATGAAAGTATTTCCAACAGTGTTAAATGAGCCACTATTTACTCTGCTCTGGCAGAGGTTTTGAGAATGGAACCTTTTAGGGAATCCTAAACACAATCTTCCTCACAGCTGTTCTCACAAAGAATAGACTTTAAAGAAAACAATGTATCTGTGGGCAAAATAAATTCTAAACTCAAAGATCAAAGAGTTTATTTCACACAGAGACATGTTCTCTGGAATATAATGTTTCTGTTTATGAGATTGTTACTCAGTGTAACAATTGTAACTTTGGACCAATTGTTACTCACGTAGAACTATGGACCCAAAATGACTTAGGTTCCCTGGGGGATAAATCATACAGTTAAGACTTACTGGGAGTACATCCACATCAGCACCCATGACTCCATTCAAAGGGGATGCTGCTGAATTGCTGGAGACAAGTTTTGCAAAGTTTCATTTGAACCCTTAAATTTATAGTAAAGGTTATCAGTTAGAGAGGAACTGGTGTGCGGGCCCCACGATTTGTGCACATGCTTAATCACTCTCTTTCAAAACACAAAGGCGGGTATCGGCGTGGTGCTTCCTTAAACTGTGGGTTCTTCCTGTGAGCTTCGTCTGGTCACTATGTGTTTAGGAAGGGAAGTTGAATTCAAAACTGCTCTTATGCCAGCATATCTGAAGCCCATGTAGACGATGTGAAGTGAGAACATTCATAACTACACACAGATGTGCATAAACTTCAAGATCAAGCGGACAGGTAGTTGTTAAAGGCCGCAGCCAGCGGCAGCTTTCTACAGAAGGATGCCGCTTTCAGAAAACATTGACAGAGTCACAGAGAGCTGCAGTTTAGTGAGGGCTTGGTGTCGTGTATGTGTGTGTGCGTGTGTGTTGTTTGTTACTGTCATTGTCTTATCTCATTTGGATTTGGGCAGTTCTGAAAAACGGAGAGCCTTGGTCTCTGTCGATGAGCTATTCCTGGTCCGGCAGCCTATGTCTATTTAGTTTGTTAAAATCTACAAATACCAGCTGCCACTGAGGACCCAGCAGCTGAAGGAGCTTGACGCCATGTCTGATGACCTGAGTTCAATCCCCGGAAACCAGTAACAAGGTGGAAAGAGGGAGGGGACTCCTGCAAATAGCTTCTGCCTTCCGCATGTCCACTATATACAACACACACCGTCTTAGCTCCTTGAAATGTATACAGAGGGGTTTTGTTGGGGGTGGGGGTTATATATGAAGTTAAGGCCAGAGGAGAAAGTCTACCAAGAGCCCGAGAAACAGACAGCCAGGTCTTCTGAACCAAACTGAACTAAACACAGTGTCCTCTCCATTGCAGACTGCCTTTGAGCGGGCATTAGTTTGGGCTCTTGGGAAAGGGAGCCTTCTCAACTATTTAGACGTATAAAGATCTGAATGTAAGCATGGGCTGGAGAGAGGGCTCTACTGTTAAGAGAGCTTGCAGCTTTTGCCAAGGACCCGAGTTTGGTTCTCAGCACCCATATGTCAGCTTAGTATCACCTGTACACTATCTCCAGGGGATCTGACACCCCCTTTTCTAGCCTCTGCAAGCACCTGCATGTGCATGTGCATCGATTCACATGGACACATGGACATAAAATAAATTAAATATTAATTTTTCATGTGTTCTCCTCAAATACTAAAAAATAAAAAAGCTCAAACTTGAAAAATAAGGATCTGTGTCACTGCTTAAGCTTCTATTAAATTTCCTCACGATTCTTTTTTTTTCTCACGATTCTTATTTATGTTTTGTTTTTGCATTTTAAAACCTTTGGTTGATAGCTGTAGATATCTACACACACTGAGAGGTTTCACTTCATGCAGCCAGCTGGGGTTGCCATCAGTCACTGAAGAAGTGCTCTATATCACCTACAGGAAGTTAAATGGTACTGGCTCTATCTCTGTACCATTTAAATACATAGTGATTACAGTTTTACTTATTATATAATATATATATGAAAGAATCTATAAACTGGAGAAGTTTAAGTATTGTTCCCTTTCATTGGCTATCATATTTTTTAGAAATCAAGAATTGAGGGACCTATCATGACTGCCCTCTGAGAGACCCAACAAGCAGCTGAAAGAGTCAGATGCAGATATTTACACCCAACCAATGGACAGAAGCTGCTGACCCCTGTGGCTGAATTAAAAGAAGCTGAGGAAGAGAGTGGCCCTGTAGGAGGACCAATAGTCTCAATTAACCTGGACCCCTGAGATCTCTCAGACACTGGGCCACCAACCAGGCAGCATACACCAGCTGATATGAGGCCCTCAACACATATATAGCAGAGAATTGTCAAGTCTAGGCTCAGTCAGAGAAGATGCACCTAACCCTAAAGGAGACTGGAGGCCCCAGGGAGTGGGGAGGTCTGGTGGGGTGGGAACATCCTTGTGGAGATGAGGGGTGGGAGAGAGGAGATATAGGATGTGGGACAGTCAAAGGGTGGACTGGGAGGGGGATAAAATCTGGAGTGTAAAAAAAGATTAAACAAAATTTTAAAAATATTTTACATAATAAAAAAAATCAACATTTGATTTCTCTAGAAAACACTTACAATCCTTTTTGTTTGGTTGGTTGTTTGTTTGGTTGTTTTTTGTTTTTTTTCGAGACAGGGTTTCTCTGTGTAGCCCTGGCTGTCCTGGAACTCACTCTGTAGACCAGGCTAGCCTCGAACCCTCGAACTCAGAAATCCACCTGCCTCTACCTCCCAAGTGCTGGGATTAAAGGCGTACGCCACCACCGCCCGGCATCACTCACAATCCTTAACATAAGCCAGGTCAGCATTGATCAGCGGCAGTGATAGTGCCAGCCTACTGGCTGGCACCTTAATACTCACACTTGAACTTAGAAGAGTGTTCATGTTCCATTAAATAGGTTTCCAGAAGGGGCAGAAAAGGATCACAATTATTTTTGAAAACTTTCTATTTTAAAAGTCTAATTACCCCATTTAAAGCCAAAACACGACTGCAGGAAACACGTATGGTTCTCCCTCTCCTGTCACAGACGGGTAGCTTCTGTGGGGTGACCTGCATGCCTTAGTTACTTTAGTCAGCACAGTTGGAGGGGCCTCGTTTGCACAGTAGAAAGCTCCCACCTCATGATCTGATCCATGCTCACAAGTATTTTTGACAAATATCAGATGCTTATTGATTACACAAATGTACCGTGCGATCTGGGAGAAACCTCACAAACCGAGTGACCATTCGTTTCCCCACACCCTGGATCGTTCCCAGAGAAGCAGTCAGAGTTTACTCTTGACATTAATCTCTGTAAATCCCAACCGTCAGGGAACGACACGGCAGAACTCAATCCTAACCTGTCATAAGCATGGCCCAGCAATGTGTTTACCTGCCGTTGGACTTTTGTTCCTCAAATTCCACTTCAAATTTGAGGTTGTGGTGTTGGAGAGTTGGAGAGGCCTTCAAACTCTCTGTGTATGTGGAGTGGGCTAGGAGTAACTCAACCTGTTTAAACCTTTATCCCACGCTCATGCAAGCCCCACCATCACCAACCTTGTGACCTTGGAGAGACTGACAGAACAAGTCCCTTGAACATAGTTTAAAAGTAAAGAAAGCCAAGAAATAAAGTAAATTCACATGGGAGACTGACTTACTTGTGGCAGACTGGCTCACTCCATGAAGCAAACACCATAAAGAGGACAGCTTTCTCCTCTCAGGCAATCCATTCAAATAGAGACCTGATCCCATTTACATAAAAGCCCAGGCCCTAGCTCTTGCTCTTGTGAGCAAGAGTTAACACAGGGTGGGGTTGTCAAGGTATGAAACAAAGTGACAGTCTCCTATGGGCTGGGTCAGCAAACGCAGGTACACACACACACACATGCACAGACACACATACACACACACACACACACACAGCAACAGTATCTCAATGTGCACAAAGAAAACTAGGAAAAACAGTAGGAAAAGACAGGATTTTAGGGATTTGTTAGCCAGCGCTGCCTTCTAGGATGTTTGTTTTCAATAAAATGCTGCTTCAACTGCCGTCTTTGCAAATGGAAATGCTTCCTCTGATAAATAGGTGTCGCCAATATAATTTTACTACTGGCCCAAGTTTAGACAGCTAATGCTAGTCAAATTAACAAGGCAAAAAAAAAATGAAGCCAGAGTTTATACAGACCCGAAACTGGACTCTGCTCATTTATATGCTCTGGAGAGAGCAGTGTTCTACAGAACTGGGACAGAAACAGAGCTAAATTTCCTTATTTTTCCCCCCTTTTGATTTGTAACCAAAAGCACACCGCACCCTGGAACCTGCGGGCACACCCAGCACTAAGACGTTCACTTAGAATGTGTTATCAGTCAGTCTTGTAGTTGGTGATGTTATTTATTCTCCAGGGTTATTAATGCCGTGATTACACACAGCCTGAGAAGACAGGACAGACAATGCTCAGAAAATCCCACAAGACAGTATTCTATCCATCCCATCCTAAGCCCCGGTGACTCTGCTCTCCCAGTGATACTCTGTCTCATACAGAAACGAGTCAGGACATGAAGGAGAATTGAAGGGAGGAAAACCAATTATGGTCTCTTAAACTAAAACTGCAGATTTTCATCTCCAAGTCCTGTGCTCTTTGGGAAGTAGCCTTTGAGTTTATTGCCCTTAACCATCCTGACTCTGGGTCAAAGCCACAGATACTATTTGTGAGCATTTGATGTGAAGCCAGGTTGGGATTGGAGAGCTCGGAAGTTAAGAGCACTTGCTGCTCTTGCATAGAACCTGAGTTCAGTGTTCAGGTCCCAGAACTATGCTGGGTGTCACATAGCTGCTTGGAACTCAGATCCAGAGGATCTGACACTGGCTTCTGACTTCTGCCAATACCTACATGCATGGTGTGTTACACATGAGTACAGAGACAGAGAGATGAGAGACAGAGACAGACAGAGACAGACAGACATATATATATATATATATATAT